AAAGGGAACATCTTGAGATCTCTGATCCACAAACTTTCTGGAAGGTAGCAAGAAGTTTATTCAATCTCCAGTCATCAAGATTTCTGCCAATATCAATGTGCCAAGAAATTGGCCTCCTTGATTGATGTAACATTCTGTCACCATGATTTCTTCATTCAGAGCTGAATGAGAGATTATTGGCATCAAGAGTTCAAAGGAGAATTGAGTTACCATATGTCATTCTGAAATCTTAACCCTTCCCAATTGCCAATTTTAACATGCATGAGATTAGCGATACCTGCCTAATCTTTCCTAATACCTCACCACAAGCTAGAACCCTGAGCACCTGAAGGCATTCCTGTCCCCGTCTTTGTAAGGCCATATCTAGTCTTAATAATCTTCCTCCACAAGTTCTTATTACTAGAGAGGAACCTCCAGCAGAAAGGGATTTTTTATTATTGTTTAAATTCTTTTAAGTTTCTTATTATAGTGTGTTATCATAGGTTAGGATAAATTAGTCTGTATGTAATCTTGTAGTTTTTTCAAGAGAATATCAATGCTTAAGAGTATTTACAGTTTCGCTTTATGATTGTGTGATGCAATCAAATCTCAATGTTATGCATAAGGCCTAGTTGCTTTTCTACTCTAGAACCCTTCAAGTCCCAGCCTCAAGTTTCTAGACGTGATATCTAATATACTAAGTGGTGATTTTTAGGTTTAATTGTCATTTTCTACATGCAAATTTACCTAGCATGTCCAAGTCAATAGGTATGAAATGATAGCTTTAAGTATTTAAAAGCATCTAGGTCTCATGGTAGTTTAATTGTTTCTCAAATAATCTATGAACATGTTGATATTGATCTGTAACTGCAGTGGATCTCTTTAATCAGAAGCCATGCAGAAGTAATTGTAGATGATGAGGTCATCTTTTCAGTTTTTAAGAAATTTTGCAAGGTATGTAACTTATCATCTCCTATCTTCCCCAAATTATCCTTGTTTTGAATTTCTTATAAAATTTTTATTTAGATTGTTTAGAAGCTTTTTGAAGAATTTTTCTTATATGTTCTCATTTTGCAGCGTCGCCCTCCTTTAGATGCTAGCAAGGGAAAACTCAATGACGTAAGTGATGTAAATTTAGTTAAAGAAGAAATTCTTAGTAGGCCAATCATTTTTTCAGTTATTGAAATGCTGATCGTTAATCTCCCCTTGAAACTTAATTTACAAGTAAGATTTGTCTTCCTGGTTTAAGTTTATTAATCAAAAGATAACGTTTAAAGCGAATTTTTTATTTGGTCCGGGAAATATATAATCATTAGTTATCTCTTTCAATAAAAAAAAAAATCAACCATCGCCGTTCTTTCCAAAGATTTATATATGTTCTACCTGGTTGTTAATATTTTCTTCTGAAGCTAATCTTCAACTCCTGTATTTGACTTCCATATAAACTGTCAGTAAAATATTATACATGTTTTGAAGATTGATTTTCTTTCCTTTTTCTAATTTTGATGTAAATGTCAAATGCAGAAACTTCAACAGCAACACAACTGTATCCCTGATGAGCATTACGTGGCAACATTGCTTGCAGTAAGCCAACCATTCAAATTGGAGATTTTAATTTCTCCCTGTTTTTTGGTTCTAACTTACTACCTTCCCCTCAACATGGCAACATCCCGCATCTTTCCCACCTGGATCTTTGTTTTATCTTGTTAGATGAATGAGCTTGAAGTTGAGCTTGAACGGAGAACACTGACTTATACTGAATGGAACCTGTCTGCCACGAAAATGGAAAATAAAGGATGGCATCCTATAACATTCACATATGCAACAGCAGGCCCTCAAAAAATCAACCAAATAAAGGTTCCCTCTGAATCTTTTTTTTTTTTTTTTTTTGACTTTACTGTTATTCTGCATTCTTGTTTTCTTTGTTCTGCTTTCTTATATATATTTTGACTGGGGTAGGCTATCAACCATGTATACTATGAGACTGAATACCGGACAGAATGGTGTCGTTCAAATTCTACATATGCTCCCTGCTTTTTATTTGCAAGGAAGTTCTCTGGTGGAGCTGCAATGCGTCTTTTGAGCCAGGGGGTGGTTGGACAATCTCGTCCATCTTCACTACTGGATCCACCAGCGTAATTCTACAATCTGATCAAGATTTCTTGCAGCCTTATTAACCATCACTAACTTATTTCAACAGGATCTGGGCAGCAAGCGAAGTGCCCACTAAAGCTTTACAGATATACTATACTTGGATAAACACGCTAGGTTAATACTAAAGCAGAATTCTTGACAGAGAGCGGCTGTTCAACAATTTGTCAGAGATGAGTTTGAGATTAGAGATATTGCAGGGTTTTTAATCTGCCAGCACTGCCTGCAAGAGGAAGCTTCTTGATAGATACTTTGTAGAATTAGAGATGTACCATTGATTTACATACTGCTGATTAGTCAGGAAAACTTTGTATTATTATATGTTTATATTGATTACTGTTAACCAAATTGCCTATTTAAGGTATTTGGCCTGAAATAATACAAATATGATTACTTGGGTTATGGACGGCAGTGAGCTGGTGATATGTTTAAGAGTATGACCTTATAAACCATCTGATATTTTTAATGTACTTTTCAGTAAGCTTCTTCAAAATCCCAGTTCAATTAATAAATGAGAAAGCTTGTGACTTAAAGCTAGTCGATTTTCTATACATAAAAAAAGAAGCTTATATATACATATAATCTGCCTCAAACTATGAAAGTTATTCATGAAGGTTCTGTATCCCCTACTCAAAAACAGTTCAGAGATAAATTAAAAAATGAATGAAATGGGTGGCCTGAACAGGTTCCACATAAATTAGGCACAATTCCTAGTTAGAAAAATCCCTGATCGGAAAACTGTAATCTTCCAGGTGCGAAATCCTTCAAAACCAGGATATTACCTTTCATATATCACTTGATCACATTGTTTCTTTCTCCAGAAATATGATGGTGGTGATCAGAAATCAATACACACGAGGCCTAACAAGGCTGTCTCTCCATCCTCTCTGCCGAGCCCGAATCTCCCACATTGCAGAAAGCTTCCTCTGTGTTTCTAATGCCGCTTCAGCCTTTTCTCTTGCCTCCTCACATGTCTCCATTCCCATGTTGCATTTGTCTGCCTCTTTCTGATACTGAGATGCCACTTTTTTAGCTTCCAATAATGCCCTGTCTGCACGCCGTTGGTTTTCCAGAGCCTGAATTTCCCGTAGCTTCACTTCCTCCGACAACAATTCAGTAAAACTTTTCTCTGTCTCTTCACTCAATTCAGGGTCAGACTTCATACAGTCTGAAAAAGTATCAAGATCAGCATGCAAGAATGTCAGGTCCTGAATCCATGAACTAGTGGAGGAGTTAAACATTGTGATCTCAGTTTGAAGCTTGATCAGATTCACAGCCATTTTCTACGTGGAATTAAAACAATGTATAGTGAAACTTCATCAAATAATTTTGAATACACTGTCCAGATTCTAAATGCAATTTCATATGAGATCAATCTTTATCATGTTCTGATATCTTTTACCTCATATATTAATTGGATAGAGTATTGATTTGCAACCAAATTATATAAAATTTCTAAATTTGTTCCAAACACAAGCTAAAAAAACTTGTTTTACTGCAATCAGCAACTTTCATCTGTCTTTTTACTCACTACCATTTAACTTACTTCTTCTTATTTCTTTATCAGGTTATTACTAATTTGGTCATTAAAAAAAAAATTAAAATTTTCTTCCAGAATGACAGAATATGTACTATTTGAGATGCGTATAACAATTGTAACCTAAAGTCAGAAACATAGTCGAATCTGATCATCTCTCTACACATAATAAATATAACGAGGAAACTAACCTAGAAGGCTGTTGTTGCTCATTCCTGCATGAAAACAGAGAGAAACACATATTGTGAATGCTGATTTTCAATGAAATAGACACGTTTTATATAAGCAAAGAAGCATTATCAGAAAGAAAAAATTCAAGCAGAAAAAGAGGAGGATGAGTTACCCTCCAAATAGAAACATCAATGCTCTTATTACCAAGCAAGCAATATATGCCTGAGACATCATAGAATTTTCCTCAGAAGAAGACATGAGCATTAATACATATTGAAGCAGAAAATTTTGGAAAAATCTCTGGTGTTTAAGAGTGCTGTTTGAATGAACATAAGAAAACAAACTGAGGCACACTATATTGAAAAGATTGCCCTGAAGAGTTACATGCCAGTCATTTAACCGTAGAAAAAAGTTTCACTCTGAAGTGATCTCCCTATCTACTCATTTCTACACCCATATTCTTACCAAGTCTTGAATATACCTTTTACTCTCATAAACTGAGATTCTAAAATCACATCACCACTCTTTGCTCATTATCTTCTATGGGTAAAAATTAAAACCTACAGACAAACCATCTGCCAGTACAGAATTCACAATAAGAATACTTGAAGGTTCAGTCAATAAACATTTTCATTTTGCAATAACATATCCAAGAATGAATTGATTACCTCATTGAAGCCACCTGCTCATTACCGGTAACACACACCGCAAGATAAATCATGAACTGTGATCTTATACCAGGTAAATGTAAATCAAGAACTATAAACCCTAATCATGCAACAGTTTTTCCCCTTTCTCATGCACTTAAATACCCATTTCCGGACTCACACATATCTTCACTACTCCAATGCAGCTAAGTAGGGAAGATAGAAATGCATTGTCAGGGCAAAGCTCAAAACACCTTGCCATAAACACTGGCTATGGACCCAATTAAGACCCAACGAAATACAGCTAAAAAATCAACGATCAAAATCATACCCATAGAAACAGATGCATAAATATGTAGATGCAAATAGATAGGGAAGTATATTGAAGATGGGTAGAGATGAATATACCATCGGAGAGGGAGACAAGAGGTCGAAAGGAGCAGTCACAGAGACAAGGAGGGCAAGAAGAGCGAACAGCGGCTGCTAGACCTTCGCTTACATGCCAATACAGCGGCGGACCGACTATGTACCCGACTATGCAAAGACCCATCATCGCCGTCACCCCCTTCACCACCCTCTGCTGCCGTCTGTTCATCTCTGATCTTTCTGTATCTCTTTTCTTCGCCTTATGAAGAGAGTGAAAAGAGGACGACGAAGATCCTGTTTTCGCTGAGAAACGAATGAGAGATAACTGTACTCGTTAATCTTTTCTTTGTTTTGATTTGATCTTTTGATCAGGAAGTGGGGCCTGACCTCCCCCCTCTTTCGCCATGCAGTGCATGCTTACTTGTGTTTCATCCATTTGGCCCTATTTCTGCTCGCCATATCAGATGGTGATTTGCTTCCTGCTTAATTGAAAATTAGGAGAAAAAATATTTATTTTAATTGGCTGATTTTTCTGCACATATATATATATATATATATGTTCAAATTAAGAATTGCTTGAAAGTTGTTACTTTTATTCCATTTATAAAAGATTTAAACTTTGAAACGGGTATTCAATTTATTAAAATTAGAACTTTGAGTCAGTGTTCTTAATTTATAAAAGATTAAAATTTTCGATCATATGTAATTAAATATTATCATTAAAAAATTATTACTTTATTCCAAATATAAAAGATGTAAACTTTAAATTGAATTTTATATAATTAAATATTATCAATTTATAAAAATTACAACTTTGAATCGATTAAATAATATCGTTAAAAAATTATTATTTTATATTATTTATAAAAGATTTAAACTTTAAATTGATATTTACGTAAGCAAATATCCTTAATTCATAAAAGATTAAAATTTTAATCTTTTATGTTTGTCATAAATTAATATATATTTTCTCACAAACAATTGCATATACATCATTTCAATTTTTTAGGGTTATTTTATAGTGTAAAAATTAATTTTTTAAAACATTACTACATGGAATTTTAAAATTAGTAATTTAAATTTAAAAATATTAAGTAAAAATAAAAAAAAAATTAATAATTTTGGTAAAATAAAAAAATCAAACTACATCACATCCAATCATAACAAAAAAAAAATGATATGAACTATAATAAGAACAAAGTATAAGATTAAAATTGTACACTTGCCTTAAGTTTTTCCATGATATCAATCATGAATCTTCGTGGTCTTCAAATGGATGAATTATTTTCTTCATCTCTCTGCTCAAACATTTTAACACCAAAACTATTTCTTGAAACTGGGGATGTGAGTTATGATCCATGAAGAATGTTGTAATTATCCCACTAATTTCAATAAGGCTCCAAGCAGGTGTCTTTTTCAATCCAAGAGATCTCATCTGCATCCATGCCTCACCCACACCATCCCATCTCTTCATTGAAGCATAGCAATGAGCAAGCTGTACATAGTTTCCAGCATCTGCAGGCCTCAACTTCAGGACATCCTTAGCAATTTCATCCCCAATCTTCGAGTTCTTGTTGGCCCGACAAGCATCTAGGAGTATGCCCAAAACATCAGCTGCAGGATCTGAGAAATTCTTCTTGTAAAACTCATATGCTTCCTCTACTCTTCCAGCTCTGCAGAGAAGATCAATAAGGCAGGCATGGTGTTCAAGTTTTGGTTCAATGTTGAATTGTCTAGTCATGGAGTGGAATAGGTTTAAACCCTGTTCGATAAGTCCGTTGTGGCTACAAGCTGTGAGAATTGAGAGGAAAATCACATGGTTGAGTTCTCTGCCAGTCTGTGGCAATTCCGAGTATAACCTCAAAGCTGTGTCTGCTTTGCCATGATAGCCATACCCAGAAATTATGGTGCTCCATGAGATCAGATCCTTGTGTAAAATCCTGTCGAAACACTTTTGGGCTGTATGTAGGTCACCACATTTACAGTACATGTCAACTAAAGATGTTTCAACCAAGATGGAGGGTCTAAGAAAAGTTCTGATGACAAAATTGTGGATCAACTTCCCCTGATGGGAAGTGCCAGAGGCTGCACAAGCTTGAAGAAGGGAGACGATTGTTAATGAATCAGGTCTTTGATGGGTTACCATCATCTTGTTGAAGATTGACAAGGCCTCAGACAAGTTGCCATTTTGGGCATATCCAGATATTATGGCATTCCAAGAAACCAAATCTCTGTTCTCCATCCTTGTAAACACAGCAAGACCTTGCTTCAAATGGCCACATTTTGCATACATGGTAACAAGGGAGTTTTGAACAGGGATATCCATTTTGAGTCCTCTCCTCAACAAGAAACCATGGATTGAGGTCCCCAAATCAGAAGAACCTAGTTGAGCACAAGCCGCAAGAACACCAGTTATTGTTGAAGAGGATGGCTTAATTCCTGATTTCATCATCTGGGAGAAAACTCCTACTGCCTTATCTGCACAATCATTCTGCAGCAGGCCTGAAATCATCGCAGTCCAAAGAACGACATCCTTGTCTTTGCTGGATTCAAAAACCCTAAAAGCAACATTGACAATGCCACATTTCAAGTACATAGCTATTAAAGATGTTTTGACATGTAGGTGTAAATCAAATCCAGCTCTGAAAATCTGCCCATGTACTATCTTGCCCAATTCAAGATCGCCTTGTGTTGCAGTTGCGGACACTACAGCACCAAATGTCTGCTGATCAGGCTTAAAACCCTCACTTCTCATGTGACAAAAGAGCTGTAGTGTTTCGTTAACATCTCCAATCTGTGCATAGCCTGAAATCAAGGAATTCCATGAAATCATATCCCTCTTCTCCATAAATTCAAACAGGTTCCTCGAATCCTCAAGGCTCTCACATTTTACGTACGCATTCAGCATAGAGTTAACCAGAGCTATATCACACATAAAGCCGTAGAAAAATGAACAGCCATGTAAGCATAGCAGCTGTTTAATCTCTGATAACTCAGATAACATGCTTAACAAGGTAACCGAACTGGGTTCAATCCCTTGATATCGCATCTTATTAAACAAACAAAACGCTTTATCAACGTCCCCGACTCGCGAATAGCACCCAATAATGGCAGTGCAAGAAACTATATCTTTCTCAGGCATTCTGTCGAACAGTTTTCGAGCAATCTCTGTATACCAAAACTTAGCATAGAAGTTAATCAAAGAAGATGCTATATATGGATCAGAAGAGAACCCATTAATGACCACTCGTTGGTGGATTGAGAGGCCAAGAGAGAGGAGCTCAAGAGACGTGCAAGCTTTGACGATACTAGGGAATGTATTGGTGTCAGGAGGAGTATTTACACTAAGCATAGAAGAGTATGTGGAGAGTACTTCACTATGAGAACCCTGAGAAGAGAGGCGTTTAATGATGTCATTGAATGACTTGGTGGTGGTTAGTGAATTCAGGAGAGAAGATTTGATCTTGTTCATAGCTCATGTTCTATCCTTCAGAGATCACCAGAAACAAAAATAGATTCTACTGATCCTGATCTTAGATGTAGAGACGTTAAGAAGGTGCCAGAGCGGGATGTATTTGTTTGAATTCAGCAGCATCTGAAACTCATCATCTAATTTTCACAAATGGGAAGATGACACCACCTATAGACACATACACAAACAAATATATATATATATATTGTTTTTGCCAAATCGGTAGGCAGCAGTTCATCTGGATACATCTGGGTCTTGAAGAACTCAATTGAGCAGAATTTTTATTAACATAAGGATGTTAATAATTCCTTATGTCCAACATCCATGCCATGCTTACAAGAGGTATATCAACTGGTTTACATTTATAAATAAAATGACCCGTATCAGGTAATAAAATTGACTTGACTTCTACATTGATATTGGGATTTTGCATTGCAGACTAAAACAAATGCCTCTGATGTTTCTGCTTGCAAGTTTTACTTCTTCGCATATTCTCTAGCGCCAAATATAGTAGATCCAATCCTGACATTCGTGCTTCCCATTTCAATCTGCAACGTGGGAAGTTCATAAATTACAAAAAAATCTAAAAAGGAAAGGATACTATATTTAATCGGAGGATTTTGTCAAAAAGAACACAGATTTGTCCAGAGGTGGGAATTAAAAAAATTGTGATAGAACTGCAAGCAAGTTGTTTAATGACAAGCAAAAATCATAGCAGCATTAGCGAGAGAACTTCACTTCTAAAGTTATATCGAGTCAATACAAAATATGATAACTTGAATTAAATCAAGTTAGCAGGGCTTTTTGTTACCGCTTGTTCGAAGTCACCAGACATGCCCATTGATAGTTCACATTGATCTTCTGGAATACCAAGTGCCTTGCAGACCTCAGTTCTGCAGTTTGCCAAGGTCTGACAACATAACAATTTCCATCAGAAGACGTAGCAGGCATGAGATATGAAAAATGAGACGCGATGAGGAACAGAATTTTGAACCATCACCTTGAAGTTCTCTGGAGTAGAAGTATAATCCGGCATTCCTATTGTCATCAAGCCACAAAACTCAAGATTTGGACAGGCCTGATTGACATGTTTGGCCAGTTCCACACATCCTGAAGGCTCAACACCAGCTTTTGCTGGAACAGAAATACCACAAATCAAACAAACTGTGGGAAACTCATGAAATGGCATGTGACAAACTAGCACAACTGATAGTCGAAATCCGTATTCCATAAAGAACAGTGTAGTGAACAGAGTAAACCAATTAGCTCCTCATAGCAGGTCTCATCTTCTATGCTAAACTCATACCTGAGACATAATTGATAGTAACAGTCGATGGTATAAACATATATACACACATTTATATGGATATATAGAAAAACAACAACAGCATCAAGAACACGATATAGCTATTTCACTTCATAAAATGGTTCCACTGCATGAGGAGTAACTCAAGCAGCCAAAACAAGGAAAATAAAGAACTGCAATTGAAAACATTTTGCAGAAGAAAACGAAAAGATAACCGGCATTATGCTTTGTAAGTAGACATCTTATAATTAAGGAAGCAATAACAGCTCTTGAAATGCAGGCAAGCCTACTATTTTCAGTATGAATAATTAATTAGTTCTTACATTCTTCTCCACTGGTATTTACTTGGACCAAGATCTTCAACCGCTTTCTTCCAATATCTGCAACGATTCGGTCTAATCGATTTGCAATCTGTATAAAACAGAAGATGAAATCAAGTGATAACAAGCATAGCAAAACCTCACCAAACAATCACAATCTTCAAGCTACAGTGAAAGACATAGTTAGATAACTGTCACTTTTAGCCATGGAAGAAAACTGAAACAAAGAAAGAATTCAAACTAATGGAATCTATTCACAGAAAAAGTAGTACCTTCTCATCATCCACGCTCTCCACCATTGCAAGGTTAGGTACCCCAGCTGGACAGAGAAATAGAAGCAATAGCATACGTACATACACACACCATGGCCATCATCAAGACATAATAAGAATGAACTGTTAACCACAAAGAGATAAAGAAGTGATTGTACCTAGTAAAGGTTTTACTTTATTGCTCTGCAGATGACCAATAAAATGCCATTGAATATCCTCTGGAAGCTGCAGTTACCGATTAAGAAAATCCAATTTTCAAAATTCAAAAAACTAAAAACCTAAATCAGAATTATACTGAATATCCTCACTAATAGGAAAATCGAACGGAGACCTGAGGAGCTTTCTCGACAAGCTCTTGGACGTAATTTTCACCGAAATGTCGGTGACCAGCGTCGTACACTTGGCGGATCAGAGAAACCGGTTTGGTCTTGCTAACAGCAACGACTTTGATACGATCGGGTACCCGACCCGCCCGCTCCGCAGCCTGGTGGACTCGCTGGAGCACAGAACGGAGCGCCGCCGCTGCAACGCCGTCCATTGCCGCCGACGAGGCTGCCATTTATTGTTGTGCCACGAGTCCTACTCCTTCTTCTCTGTTTTGATCTCCGTTGTTACTTCCTTTTTCCAGATTGTTCATCAATTTGTTCTCTGCCTCCTCGTAGCTTCTCCTTCACTGGTTTTCTTCTCGCTTGATCTCAGTTCACCACCGCGAGAGGGACCACGCAAAACGCGGCGTTTTATCAGCAAAGAAACGATGCCGTATAGACACTCGGACCCAGCTAAATGAACCCATCAGAGGCCCACGGGTTTGTTAGTGGACCGGGTTCTTTCTAACAGGCCCACTTATATGAGCGTTAAGATTAGTAAATGTTATTTTTATATTTAAATTATCAAATAACTAAAAAAAATAAAATAAAAGGGGATTTATTCAAATTAGTAGGAATAAATTATATTTAGTTCTAAATTCAATTTTAGATTTTAGTTTTCACTTTTTTTTTCATAAAAAGTTTAATCATAACGAGAAGAAAGTCGAAAAAATATTATATTCGCACTATTATATTTTGAGATAAATTATGTAGAATTATGTAAAAAATAGTCTTCGTGTTATTATATTTTTTTAGTAAATTACGTAATTCAACGTAAAATTTCATATTCTAATACATATAAAATATGTATATGTATGACAAGTTCATATAAAACAGGGGTGAAAAAAAGTTCAAACATTGGTTGACAAATTCATCTACTTTTTATGATAATAAAACACCTAGTTCTTAAGAATATTCAGATGACCAGTTACATGTCATTAAATATACATATATATATATATATATATAGTTGCAGTAAAGAATTCATTCACCATTATTGGAGCTTATTTTTTCTTCGTCATTGGATTTGCATTCACCATCTATGAATTAAGAATTCATGTTCTTCATCTAATTAACATAGGTTGTCATCTCTCTATTTTCATCCTTGAGCGGTGGAATATTCTTGTTGTCATAAATATTAGTGTTTATTACTAACGAACGGTGAGCTTCTTTCGGAAGTATAATTTATTGGGATAAACTTATATTTATTTGCTCCTCTAGTACTCACGAATTCCACCCCTGAAGTGTATTATACGTCGTTCAACCTTCATTCCCCATTAATTCATTGTATGTCACACCATCGTACATGTTATCACCTCTATTGCACGGATTCATGTACGTCGATGCAGCCTCATTCATATACTCACCTGCATTGCATGGATTAATGTATGCATTGCATAGATTGACGTATGTCAATGCAACACCATTCACGATGGGTGCATTGTATGGCATAGATCCATATTATTAAGACATGAATATGTTATAGCATGATCCATTCCACTTATATTGTGGTCATTATAATTTGCTACTACAAGTGCATTGTGGGACTCTATAGCTACATCATTCGACATGGGTGCATTGCATGTCATGGCTACATCATTCATTTTATTATTATATTTATTGCATCGATCAATATATGTTATAGCAGTAGCATTCAACCCACGTGCTTGACATTCATCATAGATCGTCATGTGTTGATTGTTAGATTCGAACAACAATATCATATATGGTGGATTGAGAGACAAAATGACTTTCTTCAAACTTTTTTTGGATTGATTAAAGACTATATGATGATATCTGCAGACATTTAAAAATCTCTTACTCTCTGTCTCCGTCGAACTCTCTTATTGATTAAAATAATAATTTATTTCTAGTTGTAGATTTATCTTATATAAGCACTACTCTGAATTGATATTTTCTATTTTAATCCAGTTTAATATTAGTGTGTGTATATATATATATATATATATATCAATAAGTTGGACTCTAATTGAACTGTCATTTTAAAATAGATGTTAAAACTGCGAGATAAGATGGATCTGGTCCTGTAGATCTAACGGACTCATGTTTATTTTTTAGGTCATACATTCAAAAAAAATTAAAAATAATATTTTTTAACACGAAATAAATGTAAAAAATATTTTGTTTGAATCAAATAAATGGGTATCAAATCAAATTATGAATTTCTAAATCGAGAGAGTATCAAATCAATTTCTGAATTTCTAAATTGAGAGAGTCTTGGGGGGTATAATAATATTAAGAGCATACCATACATGTGGTATAATAATATTCATTAATTTTTATAAATACACTTCCATATTTGTATATTTAGCATATCATATCTGATATTTATGCATATATATATATATTATACGCATTAAATATTCATCCACGGTTGTCAACTATATATACTTGCACACATATATGCGGTGAGTCGTCACCATATTATATACATCACACACCAACAATATTCAGAGAGTATAAAACCATGAGGTCAGCAATGGTGCTGCTTCTGCTTTCCTGCCTCGTCTTCTCAACTCTGCTCAACCTTGCTCGAGGTAACGTCAAAATCTATGTCATCAATTCTCACGTACATATGTTTTTTTTTTTTTATTATTTAAAATTATATTTAAATACTTTGAAAATTATGACGTAATAATTTTAATTATTTTATTTAAAAAAAATTAGGAGATCCACCACATTGTCCAGAAACAGAGAACAATATTCCAGGACCATGCGAGACCGACGGAAGCCATCAGTGCCTGGTTGATTTCTTGAGAACTAAAGGCGCAGGAAGTATGCCCAAGAACTGTAAATGCACCAATACGGGAAAGGATCAACATTCGTGTGAATGTATGGTTGTTTGTCACAAGTGATACAAACAAATGAAGAATTGAGAAATTTTACTGTTTAATCCGAGAAAGTCGATGTTTTTCTAAGTTTATTTTGTTAATTTGTTTTATTTTCACCCATTTGACTCCATAAACATCTCTACAATTATCAAGACTGTTCGTTTTTTTCTATTAAAAGAATCAAACTTATTTGACAGCGATGGTAGTTTTAATTTTGATCATTTTAATAATTAAAAAAATAATATCTTTTCGACGAACAAGATGAATTCCGATTCAAAGAAATCGACCTACGATCATGACGTGCGATAGATATCTTAAAATTTGTTGCTTCAAGACAGTGATTCTCGCAAGAATATGTGTGTGAATGTTATTCTTTTATAGCGATCTTACTTAATAAATTCCACAATATAATTATTATTAATAAAGTCGGTTACGTTTGAGCGCGGAAGCAGTCTATTTAAACCATAAAGCAATTAGTAAAACTTTGGAGCAAAGAATCATGGCGGGTGGGAAGAGAAAGGCTGATTCCGAACAAGTACTCTTCGTTCTTCCAAAGAGAAAGGCCGATTCAGGCGAAAGCATTGGCGATTGGGAACGCCTCTTGACTGAAACTCTTCACAATCTTCAGAGGCCCGATCTTGGCCCCGAGCAACTTCTAAGGATGCAGAGGAAGATCAATTGTATTAGAGAACGCATCGAGTCAAGGTTGCATGCTATTTCGGATCCAATCAACCGCTGTTGATTTTCTTTCAAGATTGTTCTAGAGTTCCAAAGTTTGGGGGATGAATATTCCTTCAATTATATTGTTTGACCGTCGGTGACTGGTAAATACTTTGTTTTTCTATTTACTAATTGGGAATCTCTTTGGAATTTCATCAGACCGCATCGATTTAAAATTTCACGCCCTTTCAACACTGTTGATTGGTTCCGTTGATTTACAAGATTATTGCACTCCCTTTTAGTTACAGGATATTCCTTCGATTCAATATTTTGACGATCGGTGACTGGTAAGTAGTGCTTTGCTCTGTAATTAGTAGTTTCAAGGCATTTGTAAAGAATTACTTTTTTTTCGGGACTTTCTCTGAGATAACTGGTTGGGAAAATTGGGTTTTATATTTTTACTTTTTATTGTGGCTTTATGATACATGGCTGTCGATGGCGCTTAGGGTTTTACGAAACGATTTATCTTCCAGTTCATGATTGAGAAGAGAATACATGCTTGGTTCACATTTCAATATATTTTGATCGCGTGTTTTGATGGATCCATTCACTTCTAGGGTTTCTGCTGTTGATGGAAGATGTTTCTATCTTGAGCAAAGGGATCAGAATTGATTCTATGTTTGGTTGGAAATAGTGAGGAACAGCCCAAAAAAAGACATTTTGAAACCAAATTGAAGACTGCAAGTCTGGAAATTAGGAGAAAAATGGTATAAGTCCTGCTTTAAGATAATACAAAAAAGTAGAGAGCAATTTTATATAATTTACTTTTGGACATTTGAAGAACAGAAAGAGTCTCTTTGAGTTTCCCGTATATGTGGGTGTGTGTATATACATATAGATGGTTGGACTTCAATTTTGTTTGATAAGATATACAGCTTATTGCTATAATACAAGGTTCTCATGTACAAATGTAAATTTTTCCTAGTAAATGTGTTTTGCTGTTTATATTAGTGGTGTAAGATCATAAAGCTCCTTTGATTTTCTACACTGATGGCTTCACTCTGTATTCTGCTTAAACAATGCAGTGAATCATGACATGCCATTTTTTTATATATGAATAGCTTGCTTGATATTTGCTAAACTTCTTGATATTTGATATCTGATTGCTAATTGCTGAGTTCAAAAATTTCCCCTACCTTCTTCTGACTGAAATTCTCACCTCATTTTGCCAATATTTTGGTTATATATCTATCTTATTAGTCTTTTTGGACATTACCCATATTGAACTTTGTGATTCTTTCCCCTCGTAGCTGGAACCTGAATTTCGGCCTCTCATATCTGAAGGTGTACAAACATTGATAAGGTTGGTGCAAAGGTGATCCTAGGATGAACGAGGATTTGCATAATGATTCGGGACCAGGAGGTTCCTGATGTAATTATAAGACTCCCCAGCCTAATGAATTTGGAGGTGACACATCCAGTTCACATGCTAAGACATGGGAGCAAAAAGAAGATTGCACCATGGAAAAATCTTATGTTGTGATACTTCCATTGAGCATCTTAATCCACATTCAAGATGTTATTAGTGACATTAAATAGAGAAATACCGGTGAATATATTTTTTCAAAATACATAGACGGAAAGAGTTAAACGAATGACCAATTTAAATATTTAAAATAATACAAAAACTAATTTAATATTTAAGCATTTATATTTATAATATAAGTCGAAATATATTATGTGAAAGTGCTACTATAATAATTTTATATACAAATACAATGCTCGAAATTTGAAGATTTTAATGAATCTCGTCTTTCTACATTGTATGAAAT